TGAGTGTTTGGATGATGTAATGTTATTTATGTACTTGATTGACGTGGCGAGTGTAAGCCAACTATGTTTTCTCCCCTTTATTATTATTTATATTACATGGGATGTTGTGAAGATTGCCTAACTTGCGACTTATGCCTTCAATGCGATTATGCCTCTAAGTCATGCCTCGACACGTGGGAGCTATAGTCGCATCGAGGGTGTTACAACTTTTATGTGCAAAGAGGCATTATTTTCATTCGAGGACGTGCCTTCCTCTTTGCACCCTGCTGTCACTAACATTTTGCAGGAGTTCGCTGACGTCTTCCCACAAGACGTGTCACCGGGATTGCCACATATTTGAGGGATTGAGCATCATATTGACTTAATTTCCGGTGCATCGCTACCCAACCGTGCACCATACCATACCAATCCAGAGGAGACGAAGGAGATTAAGCGTCAAGTACATGAGCTGCTCGACAAAGTTTACATACGCGAATCTCTTAGCCCTTGTGATGTTCCTATTATACTAGTGTCTAAAAAGGATGACACGTCGCGTATGTGGGTTGATTGTAGAGGCATTAATAATATTACTATTCATTATCGTCATCCTATTCCTAGGCTAGATGATATTCTTGATGAATTGAGTGGCTCTACAATTTTCTCCAAAGTTGATTTGCGTAGTGGATACCATCAAATTCATATGAAATTGGGAGATGAATGAAAAACAACATTTAAAACTAAGTTTGGTTTATATGAGTGGTTAGTCGTGCCTTTTGGGTTAACTAATGCACCTAGTACTTTCATGAGACTAATGAACGAAGTTTTACGTGCTTTCATTGGACGCTTTGTGGTAGTCTATTTTGATGATATACTGATTTATAGCAGATCTTTGGAGGAACATTTGGAACATTTATGTGTTGTTTTTGTTGCTCTACGTGATGCACGTTTGTTTGGTAACCTTGGGAAGTGCACCTACTGCACCGACCGAGTATCTTTTCTTAGCTATGTTGTTACTCCACAGAGAATTGAAGTTGATAAAGCCAAGATTGAAGCTATTGAGAGTTGGCCGCAGCCTAAAACGGTCACACAAGTGAGGAGTTTTCTTGGCCTCGCTGGATTCTATAGGCGTTTTGTGAGAGATTTCAGCACCATTGTTGCACCTCTCAATGAGCTTACAAAGAAAGTTGTGCCTTTTGTTTGGGGTACCGCACAGGAAGAAGTCTTCACGGTATTGAAAGATAAGTTGACACATGCTCCTTTACTCCAACTTCCTAATTTTAATAAGACTTTTGAGGCTGAATGTGATGCTAGTGGAATTGGATTAGGAGGTGTGTTATTACAAGATGGCAAACCTGTTGCATACTTTTCTGAAAAATTGAGTGGGACTAGTTTGAATTATTCTACTTATGATAAAGAATTATATGCTCTTGTTCGGACTTTAGAAACATGGCAACATTATTTATGGCCCAAAGAATTTGTTATATATTCTGATTATAAATCTTTGAAACATATTAAAAGTCAAGCTAAACTGAATCGTAGACATGCTAAATGGGTTGAATTCATTGAGACTTTTCCTTATGTCATTAAACACAAGAAGGGTAAAGAAAATGTTATTGCTGATGCATTGTCTCGTCGTATACTATGCTTTCACAACTTGACTCCAAAATATTTGGTTTGGAGACCATCAAAGATCAATATGTGCATGATGTTGATTTTAAAGATGTAATGCAGAATTGTAAAGAAGGAAGTGCGTGGAACAAGTTCGTCATTAATGATGGATTTGTGTTTCGTGCTAACAAGCTATGCATTCCAGCTAGCTCCGTTCGTCTTTTGTTGTTGCAGGAGGCGCATGGAGGAGGATTAATGGGACACTTTGGCGTGAAGAAGACGAAGGATATACTTGCTACACATTTCTTTTGGGCAAAGATGAGACGTGATATTGAGCGTTTTGTTGCTCGCTGCAATACATGTCAAAAAGCTAAGTCAGGACTAAATCCTCATGGTTTATATATGTCTTTGCCTGTACCTAGTGTTCCTTGGTAGGATGTATCTATGGACTTTGTTTTAGGTTTACCTCGAACAAAGAAGGGGAGGGATGGCATATTTGTTGTCGTGGATAGGTTCTCGAAAATGTCACACTTTGTACCATGTCATAAAAGCGATGATGATGTTAATGTTGTTGATTTGTTCTTTTGTGAAATTATTCGCTTGCATGGTGTGCCAAATACTATTGTTTCAGATCGTGATACTAAATTTCTTAGCCACTTTTGAAGATGTTTATGGGCTAAGTTGGGGACTAAACTATTTTTTAGTACTACTTGTCACCCCCAAACTGATGGACAAACTGAAGTAGTCAATAGAATATTGTCTACTATGCTTAGGGCTGTTTTGAAGAATAATAAGAAAATGTGGGAAGAATGCTTGCCTCATATTGAATTTGCTTATAATTGTTCATTGCATTCTACTACTAATATGTGCCCTTTTGAAATTGTGTATGGTTTCCTACCTCGTGCACCTATTGATTTGTTGCCTCTTCCATCTTCGGAGAAGATTAATTTTGATGCTAAAGAACATGCTGAATTGATTTTAAAAATGCATGAGTTAATTAAGGAAAACATTAAGCGTATGAATGCTAAATATAAACTTACTGGAGTTAAGGGTAGAAAACATGTTGTGTTTGCACTTTGAGAACTTGTTTGGTTACATTTGCGTAAGGATAGATTTTCTAATTTGCGCAAATCAAAACTAATGCCACGTGTTGATGGTCCTTTTAAGGTATTAGAGAAAATAAATGATAATGCATATAAACTTGAGCTGCCTGCAGATTTTGGGGTTAGTCCCACTTTTAACATTGCAGATTTGAAGCCTTATTTGGGTGAGGAAGATGAGCTTCCGTCGAGGACGACTTCATTTCAAGAAGGGGAGGATGATGAGGACATCAATACCATTGTTACACCCATAACCCCTGTTGCTATACATACTGGACCAATTACTAAAACTCGCGCACGCCAATTAAATTACCAGGTACTTTCGTTTCTTGGTAACGATTCTAATGTTCATGAGAATATGATGCTGTCTAAATTGGATATATTTGTTTTGCTTACAAATGAAGGGCCTAGCTTGGACAAGAAAGATGAACCTTGGAGTAAGTTTAAGCATGAAGATGATGGCGTGCGCAAGGGGAACAAGAACGGAGTTACAAGTGATGATTCCATGACTTTAAAGCCACCATAATGAGTGCATGAAGTCTTGGACGAAATACAGAAGATGCCACTTCATAAATTTCGTCCAGAGGCTATCCTAGGTGATGCGTCACCTTATTTTTGGGCCAGGCCCATGTAATTTTAAAATACTTGATTATAGGCTGTTTGTAGAGTCTGTATGTGTGTGAAAACAAGAGTTAGGGTTGGTTTCGTACCCCTCCTCCAAGGGCCACGAAATTCCCCCCTCTCCTCCATATATACAGCCCTTAGGGCATCGTTTAGACTTTGGGTTTGTTTAGATTAAAAGTTCGCCATAGCTGCAACTTCGCGTACTTCGTTTGTGTTCAATGACCAGACCAAGACGTCACAGAACCCCACCTTGATCAATAAAGCTTTCATCTTATATTCGCAATATCAACATTCTTCGTTTGCTCACAGGGAACAGACCCTCGTGCTCAGGTTGATCGTGCTCCGATGTGATCAATAACCCCTCGGAAGTTGGTTTAGCGATTGCTAAGGCGCGACATCTCGCACGTTCATAGTCGGATCGTCAAGGTTGACTCCCACAGAAAATGATAGCCACCATCTCATCGAAACATCATGACACCTTTGTCTCTATCACTCCCAGTGGACGATCTGCTTCATCGAACAACCAGACGCCGATTTGCCTCGAGCTGAATCAACGTGTGGTCCGGCACTCGCCCCATGACCACCATGACACAAATCGCCTCGACCCGCTCGTCTATCTGGAAACAATGACCGGTCCCCTCATCCTCTCGATCGAGCGGGAGCTGTCGTCCGCCGCCACGGAGAGTATCGCAGAATGGTTTGCGATCGATCGATACGGCCTTTCTTCGTAATCACTGCCGCGATGAGCACTCTAATTGGGCTGAGAAAAGGCTCAATTAACAAGAAGGCTCCGTTTTTTTTCATGGAGCACCTACCCTTTAGGACATTTGGCCCAGTAAAAAATAACAGGCTCGGAGGACGAAACCGACAATAGATTCAATGGTTAAGATCGTGCAAGTCACATGAACGAACGGCCAAGAACGATCACATCGTGAGAGGGCTAGGATTTGGCTCGGTTATAGGATCTGGCTCAACCTTTTCCAAACTGCTCGAAACCGGAGCTAGCCGAGCTGATGGCGTGTCGCCGAGCCCTAGTTTTTGGGCGGGAGCTGGGCATTCAACGGATTCATGTCGAGATGGACTATAGGGAGGCAGTCAGCATGGTTAACTCGGCTCCTCGGAACCTGTCGGCCAGTTGTGAAAGACATCAAAGATCTCATACAGAGCTGGATAGGATGCAAAATCACGTGGAGAAGAAGAACCGCGAATCGCGCGGGCTCACACGCTTGCTAAGGTAGCTGTAGGCGATGGCTTTTCTCAAGTCTGGAGGCATGCACCTTCTGATTGTATCCTTTCTGTAATAGCGGATGAGCTACCTGACTCTGTTTAATTTAAGTATGTTGTTTCCCTAATTTTTTTTTTATCACCGTCAATCTACAGGTCTCGACCCGCCAACGGCGCACCGTCCATCCGCAGTAGGTGGACCCTTTCGCACCCGTCCACCACTAAGCATCTCCCCTCTCTTTCCCTCGTCCTCTTCTTCCTTCGATCTCCACGGCAAAGGAAAAGAAAATCCCGTATTAATCAATTTACAGGTCGGTTTCTATCTGCTCCCATCTCTTCCTCCTCCTCCGCTCACGATCGCCGCGCACAATTCCTTCCGAATCTATTTGATTACTTTGATTTTTCTCTATGGAATTCTGAAATCTGAGGCGAGTTTGTGTTAGATTGTGCCTGGATTGTTTCGAGATGGCGGCGTGCCGGGGATTCTTCGAGTGCCTGCTCAGGCTGCTCAACTTTTTCCTCACCGTCGCCGGCCTTGCCATGGTCGGCTACGGGATCTACCTGCTCGTGGAGTGGATGAGGATCTCCGGCGGTGGCGGAGGGGCACCGCCGTCTCCGGCCCCGCCGGCTGAGTTGCTTACGTTCGGCCGCCCGATGCTCACGGTCGTGGCCCTTGGAGAAGGAGGCAGTTTCTTCGACAAGCTACCCAAAGCATGGTGAGACGATTGCGTATCCTTGTTTCTTTCTTGTCGCGCAATAGTTTGATGTTCCTGTTTGTGTGACTAGATAATGATTGAGATCGAGAGAAATTGGAAGCTTTGCTTAATAATAATAACGGCATGCCTAGGATTTGAAGGCTTCTTCATCTGTCCATCGGCAGATTTAGTGATCACCAAATCTGCGATCTCAAACCCTAGCGTGGAATTGCCGGGGGCTCAGAGAATTGATATATTTAGTTTGACTCTGCCATAGGTTCTGTTGGGACGGTTCGAAGTCGCACTTTCAATTTTCCAGATTAGTTTGTGTTACGGGCTGATTTTTGGTGGAACTTGAGTGGGGAACGGAGGAGGTGGTGAGTTCTGGCATGGAAACAGGCGGGATATTGCCATGACTTGCGCTAGTGTGCCAGTGGCGATGAAGCTCTGGGCTACGCTTATTTGGAGAAGATTTCTGTATCATTCCTCAAACGTACACGATACATGATCTTATATACCCAACTAAACTACCTGCTAACACCTGAACTTTTTTTTGAGGTAGGCTCGCAGTCACACCTGAATTAGTGTCCAATATGGACATGTTTACCCCTCTATAGTCCACAACACTTCCTCTCCAGAAAACAGCTCGTCCTCGAGCTGAAACAAAGGATAGCTGTCACGGAATGCTTGTGCTGTCATCCACAAAGTCTCTTGGTGGATTATCCCTTCCATTGCACCAGCACCTCCCAAACACTTCTATTCGAACGAGCTTGCAATATTGCTTGTGGAATTGGAAGAACCTGACCATGCAATAATAAGTCCGGTAATGGCACAACAGTCTCAGGAGGCTCACCATGAAATTGTTTTAGCAGGGAGACATGGAAAATGTCATGAATATGAGCGCGAGCAGGAAGCTGCAGACGGTATGCTAGGGTGCCAACCCACTCCCACATATGATATGGCCCAAAGAAACGTGGAGAGAGCTTAGTAGGCATAGCCGGTGTGATGGCGGTTGCTTGTTGATGGCGAAGATGTAACCAAACCCATTGCCCAACTGCAAACGCAATATCTCAATGCCCATCATACTGTTGTTTCATTGTGGCTTGAGGCAGCAGCAAGCGCTCCTTGATGCTGGCTAAAAATCCATCTCTCTCCAAAAGCTGCTGATCAACTACAGCCATTTCAGCAGTCCCAGGCTCATAGTCATAGGATATGAGTGAAGGTGGACCTCTGCCATAAACAAAACGGAAAGGTGTACCACGCAAGGCCGTTTGGAAAGGAGAGTTGTAGCAGAATTCTGTATAAGGTAGCCATTATATGCAATCCTTGGGTCGGTCTCCTGATAAGCAACAAAGATACATGCCAATGATGTGGTTGATGACTTCCATCTAACCGCCAGTTTGACTGTCAAAGGCTGAACTCAATTGAAGCTTGACGTCAACAAGATGGAACAATTCTGACCGAAACCCGCTAGTAAAGATTGGATCACAATCACTTATAATAGACAAGGCTCGTGCCGCTGATGCAGCTGAATAGGGGTGACCAAGTGCGTTGAAATGAGCATATTTGGAGAACCGATGAGCCAACAAAATGAAGTGAAATGTCAGCCCAGACTTGAGAAAGAATAGGGTGGTGTTCTGGGAAGGTGGAAGCCATGATCATGATGGCAGGGTGGAGGTACACCACGCGGCTCCTTGAAAACTCAGGCAAACTCCTGTAGCACTGCTGGCATAAGATCATCAACCTCACACGCCTGGAGCATTGGAGAATCTATTGTAGCCGCTACTCCATGCCAAATGACCTTGTGACCTTTGTGCCAAAATGAAGTTCAAACCACAAGATTGTGCCCGGTGAACAAAGCCATTCGACACCGAGTACCACCTCAAAGCCTTCGAGCGGAATAGCATAACACTCGATTGGGAAGTGCTCATTGCCAACGCCCACGCCCACGCCTAGTGTACGACAGATGCGAGTGCTAGCAACCCGGTCCCGTTGGCCACAGTAATGTAAAGTCTAGGTCGTGGTTCCAATTGAATGCCAGGTGGTGCATCCTGGGGAATGCAGTTATGTGTCGAGCCAGAATCGACTAATGCCATGGGTGGCTCTGTTATGTGGGGAACCACATATGATCGGAGGGCCCCAGCTTGGTCGCACCATCCCCGGTCCAGCCCAAAGTGGCTAGGATTCGTGTACTGCTACAAGTAATTATTAAGGTTCTGATTCACATTAGGTTTAGAGTCCAGATTAGTTAGTAGGTTTAGATTCGAAATAGGTGCAGAGTCCAGACTAAACTTGTTCGAGAGTCTAGATTGTATTCCCTTTGAGTCGGCTTGTCAGCGAAGCCATTCCTCTTATATATGGGGCTTCTCCCATGATTAATAAAGCATCAGAATTCAGAGTATTACTATCTTTTAGGCCTTAGAGTAATTAGAGTTTGTTCCATCTGGTATCAGCGTCATCTAGGATGGTGGACGATGACAAAGACGACGGTGGCAACGTCAACCTCGTGCTCAAGGAGCTAGCGACCCAGCTGAAGGAGATGGTGGTGCAACGGGCCACGAATCAGGTCTTCATGGAGGGCCTCGTCCAGCGTCTCAACACAGCAGCGCACCAGCGCTCTACCTTCCACCTTGGTCGACCTGCGGCTGGCGTTGCCGACATCCATCGGCTCCTCCGCCGCCTCCTCCACACCGTCTAGTACCTCCGCCGCCCTCGCCACCACCGGCCCCACCATTGTCCCATCCTCTTGAGCGCATGATTTGATCCACGCTTTTCCCCACCGCTGTCACTGCCCCAATTTCTGGCCTCTCTGTTCTTCCCATAACAACCTCATGTTTACCCCCCTCCGTTCAACCAAGCTTTCCACAACGCATCTTCGCCACCACTTCCCTACCAATAGCCACCCGCCAATCCTTACGAGCCACTTCCTCAAACACTACAAACCCAGCCCACCTATGCCGCCTCACCGTATCTCACGTCAATTGCCCTCTTTGCATACCAACACCTTGGTTCTGGCTCCGGTGGTGTCCCACGCTTTCACAAGCTCGATTTTCCTACTTACGATGGTTCCGTCGATCTGCTTGGCTGGCTTCATCGGTGTGAGCAATTCTTTTGGGGACAGGGCACAGAGGAGGCTGACAAGGTGTGGACAGCGGCATACCACCTAGTCGACAATGCTCAGTTTTGGTACCTCCAGTTTGAGCGTGATCATGGCATTCCCTCCTGGCAGCACTTCAAGGAGGCGTGTCACCTTTAGTTTGGGCCATCTGTACGCGCCAACCCCCTGGGCGAGTTGCTCGGCTTCCGTTCACCTCTACTGTTGCTGACTACACCAGCAGATTTATGGTGCTGTTGTGCAGGACCAGCGAACCATTAAGCTCAGCCCAACAGCGTTTCCTGTACACAGCCAGACATTCCGAAGGCCTCAAAGTCGATGTCGAGCTTCAGCAACTTGTGGACCTCCCACAACAGTATCCTCGCTAAGGCATATGAACAACGCCATCCGTTCCCACCACTCATGCCCCCGTCACGTTCCTGAGGTTCGAAGTCTTGGGCAAGGGGACCAACCTTGCCGCCTGCTACATGTCCCATGCCACAAGGCGTTACTGCTGCAACTGCTGCCCCTACATCGACGGCTCCTCGCGCTACGCGCCGCCTCATGCATATCGATATGGTTGGCCGCCGCCGCCAAGGTCTTTGTTACAATTGTGTTGAGCAGTACGTCACCGGTCATCGATGTGCACGCTTGTTCTCCATCGAGCTTGATGATTTTGCTCCTGAGGATGCACCTTTGGAGGAGGACCCAGAGATGCCACACATCTCGCTTCACGCCATCACCGGGCTTTGGAGTATGTGTGTGATTGACACCATACAACTGCTTGTCGTCATCGGCACTCATACCTTCACTGCCTTACTGGACACAGGCTTGACACACGGTTTCATTGACTCAGCCGTGGTCAACGCGCTCGGCTTAACTCCAGAGACTTGTCCCGGTCTGCGGGGCATGGTTGCCAATGGGGACACACTTGTTAGTGTTGGCCTATGTCGCGGCATCTCCATCAACATCGACGGCTGCCATTTTCGGGTTGACTGCTTCACACTTCCACTTGGCGGCTTCGACCTTGTCCTTGGTTGACTGGCTCCGTTCCCTCGGACCGATTTTGTGGGATTTTGATCACCACAGAGTGACTGTTGTCCTTGCTGTTTCCCAAGTCACATGGAACGGACTGGTGATGCCTGCCTTGCCTGCTCTTCGCACGATCATGAGCGAGGACTCTGACCTCATGGGTGACATGCTCGACGAGTTTGCTGACCTCTTTGCCACTCCGACCATGTTGCCTCTAGGATGCTCTCGCGACCACTGCATTCGGCTTCTACCTAACACCACGCCAGTAGCTGTCCGGTCATACCGCTATGCGCAACTTCAGAAGGATGAGCTCGAGCGCCAGTGCACGGAGATGTTGGTCCCAGGCATCATCCGCCCCAGCGACTCGGCCTTCTCTTCACCCGTCCTCGTCAAAAAACAGGATGGCTCATGGCGCTTTTGCGTCGACTATCGGGCGTTGAACGATCATATTGTGAAGGATAAGTTTTCGATTCCTGTTGTTGACGAGTTAGTGGATGAACTCCGGGGCGCCAGGTTCTTCACCAAACTTGACCTGCGCTCGGGGTATCATTAGGCACGGATGCACCCTGGTGATGTTGCTAAGACGGCGTTTCGCACACATGATGGCCACTATGAGTTCTTGGTTATGCCATTTGGCTTAACCAACGCACCGACAACCTTCCAGGCTTTGATGAATGACATCTTGCGCCCTATTTTGTGCATATTTGTCCTTGTTTTCTTTGATGACATCTTAATCTACAGCTCATCCTGGTCGAAGCACCTGCGCCACCTTCGTGTTGTCTTTCAGGACATGCGGTAGCAGTCCCTCTTCCTCAAGCGCAAAACGTGTTGCTTTGGTGAGTCCTCCGTGGCCTACCTGGTTCATGTCATTGATGCTGATGGGGTGGCCATGTATAAGGATAAGGTGCGCGTGGTTGCACTGGCCTATGCCTTGTTCGGTCTGGGTGTTGTGCGGCTTCTTGGGGCTGGCCGGCTACTATCGCAAGTTCATCAAGGACTTCGGCATGCTCGCTGCTCCTCTCACGTGCCTACTCAGCAAGGAGGGATTTCGGTGGTGCCTAGAGGCAGAGGATACCTTCCAGACGCTCAAGCATGCCCTTGGTCAAGACCCGGTGCTCCAGACACTGGACTTTGACAATCACTTCATTGTTGAGTGCGACACCTCTGGGACTGGCTTTGGTGCTGTTCTTCACCTAGGTGCAGGGCCCTTGGCCTTTTTTAGTCAGCCCATTGCTCCACGCCATGCCAAACTTGTTGCATATGAGCGGGAACTCATTGGACTGGTTCAGGCTTTGCCGTACGCACCGACCATTATAACCTGAAGTTTCTCCTCGACCAGCGGCTTTCGACAATCCCTCAACTCCAATGGGTGAGCAATTTGTTCGGATTCCACTTCACTGTCGAGTTCCGCCCGGGCCGCCTCAACATCATCGCTGATGCCCTCTCCCGTCGTGATGCCTGCAGCACCTGCGCTTTGTGCTCTCTTGCTGCCAATCTTCACCATCTTCGAGGACCTACGGCGTGAGATCGACGCTTCGCCTGAGTTGACCTCCCTTCGTGATGGTATTCGCGCTGGTGATCGCGACCACCACTGGAGTTGTGTTGACAACTTGATTCTTCATGTTGCCCACCTCCCTGACCATACCAGTGATTTTGCAACATCGACTCCGAGCTGATTTCCATGTCCTTGGCGATCGCCAATTGCTTGTGTAGTCTGCCAACGCAACAAGACAGAAACACTCCTGCCTGCTGGGTTACTTCAGCCTCTGCCGGTCCCAACGTCTGTGTGGAGTGATATCTCCATGGATTTCATCGAGGCACTGCAAGGGTGCTGGCAAGTCTGAGATCCTCTCGGTCATTGGACGTTTCTCCAAACATTGTCCAATCCATACACGTCTGCCTCCGTGGCAAAGGCGTTTTTTGAGGGCATTGTGCGCCTCCATGGACTTCCACGGTCTATCGTCAGTGACTGAGATCCTGTCTTCACCAGCAATTTTTGGCGTGAATTATTCAACTTGTCCGGCGTTCAGCTTCACATGAGCTTAGCCTTTCACCCCAGTCTGATGGTCTGACCGAGGTTGTCAACAAAATCATCGCAATGTACCTGCGTTGCCTCATTATTGACCGGCCACGCCGCTGGGTCGAATGGTTGCCCTGGGCGGAATTCTGCTACAACACGTCCTACCACTCTGCTCTTCGTGCCACTCCATTCGAGGTTGTCTATGGTCGGCCACCGCCACGTCTTTGTGACTATGTTCCTGGCGAGGCCAAGGTGGCAGCTGTGGGCACCGCCTTTCAGGATCGCGCCAACTTCGTTCATGAGGTTGGTGAGCATCTCCATCAAGCGCAGCAGCGGGCAAAGCATTATTATGATGACAAGCATCAGCAGCTGGCATTTGGCGTCGGTGATTGGGTGTGGCTTCGCCTTCACCATCTTGCGTCAGCATCGTTACCAGGTCACAAGCATGGCAAGTTGTCTCCTCGCTTCTATGGGCCTTTCCAACTCACTGAAGTCATTGGTTCTGTTGCATATAAACTCGCGCTGCCTGCTGGTACTCGGCTCCATGATGTATTCCATCTCAGTCTCCTTAAAACATTTCATGGCGAACCACCCTCTTGCTGCACTTCCCGCCATTAAGGATGGCCGTGTGCTGCCTGCACCAACCAAGATTCTTCGATCCAGCATTCGATGCGGCGTGAGCCCGTGAAGCATGTTCTTGTGCAGTGGGTTGGGGCTTCTGAAGATGATGCAACATGGGAGCCGCTGGATGAGTTCATTGCTCGTTTTCCCACGTTTCAGCTCGAGGACGAGCTGTTTGTGGAGGGAGGGAGAGATGTTATATGGGGAACCACATATGGTCGGAGGGCCCCAGCCCTGGTCGCACCACCCCCTGGTCCAGCCCAAAGTGGCTAGGATTCCTGTACTGCTACAAGTAATTATTGAGGTTCAGATTCGTATTAGGTTCAGAGTCCAGATTAGTTAGTAAGTCCAGATTCGAAATAGGTGCAGAGTCCAGATTAAAACTTGTTCGAGAGTCCAGATTGTATTCCCTTTGAGTCGGCTTGTCAGCCAAGCTATTCCTGTTATATATGGGGCTTCTCCCACGATCAATAAAGCATCAGAATTCAGAATATTACTATCTTTTTGGCCTTAGAGTAATTAGAGTTTGTTCCAGGCTCGCTGTTGACAAGCACCCTGGGCTGCATTGTCTTTCTTGTCCGGAACCCAGTCGGGGCATGCAGGGAAATTTGGACGTCATCCATGGTCATCCCCTGTCACATCGTCTTCATCAAGCTCGATCCAGTACATCCCCTTTAGTGTGCACTTGTGGTTGTGATGGAACTTCTCCGGGCAATTGAAGCATTGTCCTTGGGCTTTCCGATCAGCCATCTCCTCCGGTGTAAGACGGTGGAACCGTGAGGCTGGATTTTCCATGGCAGTCACGACCGCCGGAGCAGTTGCCGTGCGGCCAGGTATGCTCGTGCTTGCTTTATGCCGGGGCCCTGCGCTCAGTGCAGTACTGACTGGTGAGCAGGTGGGTGCTGGTACAGAATATGATATGAAGTTTGTGCAGACTTGTTGCCTGAGGAGTCACAACAGGCTTGGAATGAGGTTCATCCCACAGGGGTTGTTCATGTGCCCTTGCAAAGCTCATAGCAGTCTGAAGGTTTGATGGATTTTAAGGCTCTACATCTGTACGCAATGGCTTTAGGAGTCCTGCTGTGAATATGCCAACTTGCTGACGAGACAATCTCTCACAGCAACAGATGAACAACATGAATTGTAGACAATATTCATCCACGTGCCTATATGCTTGGAGCTGGGTGCGTTCTCGGAGTGCGTTCCTCAAAGCACACTTTTTCCATCTTCCTCGAAAGGGGAGGAGAAACGATACATGACCTTATATACCCAACTAGACTACCGACTCAGTTGAATTAGTGTCCAACATGTACACGTTTACCCCCTCTACTTCCTTACGAGATTAGTACTTCCCTAATAGCTGTGCTTCCACCTGGCACACTAACTACGATTCGAAAACATGTATGTGACTCCTATTGCTGCTCCTGAGCTTGGACTTCAGTCCGCATTGGCTAGGGCCTGAACCTGACTAGAGCCGCGGCCCTTGAGGCGACGCTGATAGACCTGACACAGAAAATAAACCACAACAGTTTGTCAATCATTTGTTTATTCTACCAAAAGATTAAGTTCTACCTTGAAAGTGAATGATTGCATTCAGTAAAGAATTTCTGATTTCCTGGCAGGTTCATCTATTTGTTCATTGGTGTTGGTGCTGTTATCTTCGTCGTTTCTCTATTTGGCTGCATTGGAGCAGGGACAAGGAATACGTGTTGCTTGTGTTGTGTATCCTGACAGTTGGTCTTCCATTTTATTAGTACTCTCGTTTTTTAAAGACGACCACTGAATGTACAAATAAAGGAAGAAAACAGCTATTAAAATCATCGGTAATTCCAAATATGGCATGCGTTAGATACACAACATGCAGTGCAAAAATGACGCACTTTTGATCCAGCTGTGACGTAAGTGAAAAGGCATACACCATACTATGTCCTATTATATGAACATGAGTCATTCTAGAATCCATGCCGGCCAAGTATTTGGCCCGGAATATAAAAATATACATTTAAATTACTGACATGCAGTTGGTATTTTATGGGATTGATCCCGAAATGTTATTTGCATAACGTATAACTATTGTGATATAAAAAATGTAGTTAAAAAAAACGTTGTCAAAGTGCTACCCTGTAAATTGTCAATATGTAAATTACTTAAAGCTGAAGGGGAGCCTTGGCGCAGTGGTAAACAGCCTCTTACAGAAATGTAGGGAAAGGCTGCGTACAATAGACCCAAAGTGGTCGGACCCTGCGCAAGCGGGAGCTACATGCACCGGGCTGCCCTTTTTAATTTTTTTTACTTAAAGCTGTATTCAGAGGCATAAAATGTAAAAGGTAGATAATGAGCAGGATTTAGTTGTTTCTGAGATCTGAATAATGTTTAGTGATTCCATTCAATAATGCATAAATTTGTTTCCTTCGAATGTTAAGTGATTCCATTCAATAATCCACAATTTGTTTCCTTTGATGTTTAGTGATTCCATTCAATAATCCATAAATTTGTTTTCTTTGATGTTTAGTGATTCCATTCAGTAATCCATAATTTTGTTTCCTTTGACGTTATAAGTATTCTTTCTTGGTCATATTATTAATCCTTGCTGAGGCTGGAGGTGCTGCATTCATATTCTTTGACCATAGCTGGAAAGATGTGAGGCTTCTGTTTGGTGCTAATTTGGAAACTATGTTATAGTCTCATCCTTTTATTTAATCATTGTAAGTACTTCTTTGTAACTTCCTTTTCAGGTAATTCCAGTGGATAAGACACAAAACTTTGATGCCATGTATGACTTTCTGAATGAAAACTGGAAGATTGCAAGATGGGTTGCTCTTGGTGTTGTTGTTTTTGAGGTAGGAGCAAACTCAAGTCTATTCTTGTTGTGCCTTTTTTTGGATAGCACTGGGCCTTCCTAAACACTAATAGTTTATTAATCATGTTCCGAATGTGTAGTTGTTACCGGCTTAAGGTGCATTCTTTTCATCTGATAAATATTTCATTCTACTGTGTCCTGTCTTTGATCTGCTTGTTGTGAATAAATTTAGTTTTGACGTACCCTGCGGTACTGGTGAGCGGGAAAATAGAAATTGGTGATGATTTTTAGTCGTGGACAGTCAGTTGCAGTGTGTACTCTTTTAGCTATAGTTGGTCTAGTGCAGGTAGACTAATGTTTACCAGTATGCAGGTATTGCTTTTCTTGTTAGCTCTTGCTGTCAGGGCAATGAACAAACCTGCCGAGTATGACAGTGATGATGAAATCATTGGAACTGCTCGAAGCACTAGCATCCGTCAGCCTCTCATCCATTCCCAGAATGCTCCGGCTACTGGTGTTCCCGTCCCAACACTTGATCAACGTGCGAGCAGAAATGATGCATGGAGCCAAAGGATGCGAGAGAAGGTACATACATCATAGACCGGTTTCAACATCATTGATCATTCTCATACATGTTTTCAACTCATTGATCGTACTTATTATTATTTTTCATTACAAAACATGTAATTATTCTACCTGATGCAGTATGGTCTGGACACAAGCCAATTTACTTACAACCCATCAGATGCAACCAGATATCAGCAAAATGGGGCACCTCCAGCTGAAGAAAGGAGCCGTTGCACTGTAATGTGAAGATCCTTCACGACGTTATCCAAATTGTTGGTTCTTGAACAGGCCATCTCAGCTTGCACGGTTTGGCTATACCGTGTTGTTCAGAGTGGTGTATGAATAGGAGGTCTTTTTACCTTAATGCTCATCTTATCTGCTGTCTTCTGAACAACTCCATGCACCTGTAATTTTTGTGTGAACGAGTATTGGCCATTGATATCTCATTATATTTCATGTTTTCCTCAGATTCCTTTTGTTGGCATTCCATTTTTGCCTTGTTTACCCTTTCAACTTGTATCATGAACTAGAGTAAATGGCGAACTTCGCCTCGCAGATTGGTCAATGTGTGCTTGATGCGTTGGTGTTTAATTTGTTTATGGGTGAGAGAGTGCCTGGTGGAGTATGTATGTCGACAATTTAGATCTGTGATGGCAAATTGTCACTCCATCGTCAATTGTCATCTAATCTGTTAATGCAATATACAATACAATTAAAAGACGTATTTTTTTATTGGTGGGCAAGAGCAACTCCAACGTGCCGACTCATTTTGTCCGCGCGCGTCCGCTTGGGTCATGGTGGATAGAAAAGTCGGCCCAATGCGCCGACTCAAACGGATGCGCGTCTGCTTTTCGTTTGCCCCAGCTCATTTTTTAGCCTCATTTTTGTCGGCATGGACATGGAGGCCTGCGACGCGTGCCAACTACTCTCCCTGGCTCGCTAGTTGGTGGCAGCCTTCACCATTTTCCTCCACTTTCCCCAAAACCCTCCCGCTCGCCATGGACGACGGTCTTGATGTTGCCGCCGGCCTCGCCAACCTCGCCTCGTCCGGCATCACGACCGCCTCCTCCGGCAAAGGCAAGCCCTGTGGCCCTCGCAAGACCGCCACCACGGAAGTCGTAGAAGAAGTTGATGCCCGAGGAGCGGGCCAGGGAGTCTGCGAAGAGGAAGGGTCGGAGGCACGCGGCGGACGCGAGGGACAAAGCAGCGGCCACGGCCGCCATCGTCGCCGCCGCGCAGCAGGAGGCCACCAATGCCCGTGTCGCGGCGGCAACGAGGGAGGCGTTGATGTACCTAGGGTTAAACCCTGACCAGCACGGCCCCGTCAACGTCGTCGTGGCCCCGGCCAGCACCGGGTCATCTGCGTTTCCTCGGATGGTGCTGCTGTCGGATTCAGGGCTCCGCAGACCCAAGAAAAGGTTAGAACTCTGGGGCGTGTGCGAAGAACTCAACCTCTCCAGCCAACCAGCTCGTCGCCCCCACGGCCTAGCTCGATGAACAAGGAAGAAGATGGACACGACAGTTTTACCCAGGTTCGGGCCACCTTGCCGTGTAAGATCCTACTCCTGCTTTGTGGTGGATTTGCCTCACAAGGGGCTGAGGATGAACTAGTACAAGGGAAGAACAACCTCGCTAGGTCTGCTCTGGTGGGGGAATGGGTTGACCAGCTTCAGATCCCCTTCTACGGTGGTGGCTAACCTATACTTATAGTGGCCTCGGTCCTCTTCCCCCAAAACGAAGGCGGGAAGAGATCCCATAGTGGCCAATGTGAAAGGGGACAAGTAGTACACCTAATCCTGACGAAAGTTGGTCTTCGCGTGCAAAGCTTCTAGTCGTGACGCTGTGGTGGGCTCGGTGATGACATCTGTCCTGCCATCCTGACGGTCTTGGTCTTGTTACACGGGAATGGAAACCTTTGCCTAATTCCTCGGGACCCCGCGCCTGCGCTTGCCTCCTTAGCACCAAAGAGGAAATTGGCTCCTCTGCGCCCGCTGGCGCCCGCCTGGCCTTGGTCGTCATGGCTTGCGTCACCCCAACCTCATGTGGTTGGGCACATGCATAGAAATCTCTACTCCTCAGGAGGCCTCCTGGGATGGCTGCTCCCTTCGGAGTTCTTGGTGTCGTCCGCCTCACGAGTCTTGGCCCCTTGCGAGGGTGTTGTCTTGATGGTCGTGTAGATGGGACGTACCAGGCCGTTTACGGAGCCACGTCGTGGGCCGCAGGCAGGCAAGTCTGGTACCCTGATTTCTAGAACGCCGACAGCTGTTCGAGTCACCCCGCGCGTCGGCGACGGAACCGATACCTAGCTTCCACGTTTATCTGCAAGCCTCCCGACTCTCTGGGGAATACTCGCTCGAGGTGAGCGTGGTGGCGCTTTCCACGCCCGCGCCCATCAACCTCGGTGTGGCCGGTGGCTCGTCATCCGGAGGGCAAGGAAACATGCGCGATAGATGCCAACTGACGTGCTGTCGGGCGCATGCAACCCGTTTGACGGAATGCCGGCCTCCGATGACGGTGACTTAATGCAGAACATCATCCTCGAGGATGGTGCGACGGCTGCTGGCGATGCTGCCGGGGCTGGCTACGATCCCGATGAGACACAAAGCCAGGACGGCCGAGGGCCACGCCGTCGACCTTTGGTCAAGACCAGGTCGCCTTCATGCATGATCAGGTCAGCCTAGACCTGGACGACTTCCTGCTCGACCACGAGTTTCCGGAGGACTACGACCTCGAGAAGAGGACGAGTTGGACATCGACAGGGAGCCTTTGTTCGAGGACGAGGTCGCCAACCAAGCCGCCGGGGCGAAGCTGAAGCGCAAGAGCAGGCGCCCCTCTTTGTGTCATTTCGTTTATGTTTGCATGTCCATTTCCATATCCATTTGTCAATATGCTTGCATGCAATTCATTTGTAGGCAGTCCAAGCTTTGGAGGCATTCAAGGTCCAACACGATGGCAAGACCTTCAACCTCTCCCATTGTTGGAGGGTCATCAAAGACGAGGAGTTCAAGGCGCAATATGCCGCCCTCATGTCGCGTGGGGGGAAGAATGAAGGAAATATGCCCTAGTGGCAACAATAAAGTTATTATTTATTTCCTTATTTCATGATAAATGTTTATTATTCATGCTAGAATTGTATTAACCGAAAACATAATACATGTGTGAATACATAACAAACAGAGAGTCACTAGTATGCCTCTACTTGACTAGCTCGTTGAATCAAAGATGGTTAAGTTTCCTAGCCATAGACATGAGCTGTCATTTGATTAACGGGGTCACATCATTAGAGAATGATGTGATTGACTTGACCCATTCCGTTAGCATAGCACTTGATCGTTTAGTTTGTTGCTATTGCTTTCTTCATGACTTATACATGTCCCTATGACTATGAGATTATGCAACTCCCGTTTACCGGAGAAACACTTTGTGTGCTACCAAACGTCACAACATAACTGGATGATTATAAAGGTGCTCTACAGGTGTCTCCAAAGGTACTTGTTGGGTTGGCGTATTTCGAGATTAGGATTTGTCACTCCGATTGTCGGAGAGGTATCTCTAGGCCCTCTTGGTAATGCACATCACTTAAAGCCTTGCAAGCATTGCAACTAATGAGTTAGTTGCGGGATGATGTATTACGGAACGAGTAAAGAGACTTGCCGGTAACGAGATTGAACTAGGTATTGAGATACCGACGATCGAATCTCGGGCAAGTAACATACCGATGACAAAGGGAACAACGTATGTTGTTATGCGGTTTGACCGATAAAGATCTTCGTAGAATATGTGGGAGCCAATATGAGCATCCAGGTTCCGCTATTGGTTATTGGCCGGAGACGTGTCTCGGTCATGTCTACATAGTTCTCGAACCCGTAGGGTCCGCACGCTTAAAGTTTTGGATGAGATCGGGGACATGACGAGGAGTCTCGAAATGGTCGAGGCGTAAAGATCGATATATTGGACGACTATATTCGGACATCGGAAAGGTTCCGAGTGATTCAGGTATTTTCGGGGGTACCGGGGAGTTATGGGAATACGAGGAAGAAGTAATGGGCCTCATGGGCCATGTGGTGGAAGAGAGGAGGAAGGGCGCGCGGTCCCCCTAGCCCAAACCGAATTGGACTAGGGGGCCGGGCCCCCTTCCCTCCTTTTCCTCCCTCTCCTTCCTTCTCCTTCTCCTCCTTCCTTTCCTCCTCCTAGTAGGAGTAGGAAAGGGGAGTCCTACTCCTACTAGGAGGAGGACTCCTCCTCCTGGCGCGCCCATAGAGGGCCGGCCGGCCTCCCCCATTGCTCCTTTATATACGGGGGCAGGGGGCACCTCTAGACACACAAGTTGATCTGTTGATCTCTCCCAGCCGTGTGCGGTGCCCCCCTCCACCATATTCCACCTCGGTCATATCGTAGCGGTGCTTAGGCGAAGCCCTGCGTCGGTAGTAACATCATCACCGTCATCATGCCGTCGTGCTGACAGAACTCTCCCGTAAAGCTCCGCTGGATCGGAGTTCGCGGGACGTCATTGAGCTGAACATGTGCTGAACTCGGAGGTGCCGTGCGTTTGGTACTTGGATCGGTCGGATCATGAAGACGTACGACTACATCAACCGCGTCGTGCTAACGCTTCCGCTTTCGGTCTACGAGGGTACGTAGACACACTCTCCCCCTCGTTGCTATGCATCACCATGATCTTGCGTGTGCGTAGGAAAATTTTGAAATTACTACGTTCCCCAGCAGTGGCATCCGAGCCAGGTTTTATGCGTAGATGTCATATGCACGAGTAGAACACAAGTGAGTTGTGGGCGATATAAGTCATACTGCTTACCAGCATGTCATACTTTGGTTCGGCGGTATTGTTGGATGAAGCGGCCCGGACCGACATTACGCGTACGCTTACGCGATACTGGTTCTACCGACGTGCTTTGCACACAGGTGGCTGGCGGGTGTCAGTTTCTCCAACTTTAGTTGAACCGAGTGTGGCTACGCCCGGTCCTTGCGAAGGTTAAAACAACACTAACTTGACAAACTATCATTGTGGTTTTGATGCGTAGGTAAGAACTGTCCTTGCTAAAGCCCGTAGCAGCCACGTAAAACTTGCAACAACAAAGTAGAGGACGTCTAACTTATTTTTGCAGGACATGTTGTGATGTGATATGGTCAAGACGTGATGAGATATAAGTTGTTGTATAAGATGATCATGTTTTGTTGAAGTTATCGGCAACTGGCAGAAGCCTTATGGTTGTCTCTTTATTGCATAA